CGACTCGACGGCACTCAACAACAACCAACCGTTGCTATGTCTGGGCACGATGTTGGAGCTGCTGTATCAATCCATCTGATTAAGGGTCTTCAGCTTTTCCACTGCCTCTCCGTTTACCAAGTATTGACTTGTCTAAGGAATGTTTTTCCTCATTTTGAGTCATGCTCCATCAGTAAATGAAGATCTCCAGAGCTTACCTATAGCCACGTCATTAAGGTCAACTCTTACTCTGAGGATGGGAGCTCTACCCCAGTTGCCTGTTAAGTGCCTTTCTAACTGATGTGTTCATGTTCCAGCTCTATCTCAGACAATGTTTTGCTGCTGTTCAGAGGTTTTCAGTAGTTAATCTTTCAGAAGTAGTCCTCCTATTTCTTCTTCCTAGTCTACCTTCATCTGGAAGCTCCCCTGAAACCTGCCCAACATGGGTGACGCTGCTTGGATTTGAAATACCAGTAGTGAGCGAAGCTTCGTGCATCACAGAAACACACAGGCCACCGTAGTAGACAAGCCAACAGACCAGAGGTGGTCTATGAAAATTACCGCCTTGGAAACCCTATGGGGCAATTCTATTCTGCCCAACAGGGTCGCTATGAGTTCGAGTCAATTCCATGGTAGGGGGTTTGGCTGTTTTTATTTATTTTCTTTTCTTGGTTTTGGGAGTGGTAAAAATGGATAACGCATTTGGCAAGTAACCAAAGGTTAACTGATGAAACCTCCTCAGATAGTCTGCGTTGACATGGTTAGAAGAAAGGCCTAGACATCTGCTTCCGAAATGTGACAACTTTTAAAAAACGCTATGGAGCACTTCAACTCTGCAACACACAATGTCGCCATGAATCCTAATCGATTCCATGGTAACTTGTTTGGTTTTGGCGTGGAGAGACTACAACCCCCATGAGCCACTGGGGCTGCTCTCCTCGGTACTCTTGGGACATGTAGTCCCCAGTGCCTTAAAAGTCTTTGTTTTCTGATGAGGTTTCAGACTTGTCAGGAGGTCCAGAAGAGGCTAAGAGCACTCTGAATTTTATTTTATTTGATTTGAAATCTACACCCTGTGCCTTCTCGCGGGGGAAACAGAAGCCAGAACAGAGATCCTTGTGGTCTAGTGAGTGTCCTCTGGTGGCGCTGTAGGTTAAGCACTGGACTACTTACTTGGGGGCCTTCAGTTCAAAATCACCAGCCACTCCACAAGAAAAGAAAGAGGCTTTCGGTTCCCGTAAAGAATTTACAGCCTCGGAAACGCTCTGCTGTTGTTGTGAAGTGCCGTTGAGTCGATTCCAACCCATAGTGACTCTCTATAGGGTTTCCAAGGAGCAGCTGGTGAGCTTGAACCGCCGATCTTGCAGTTCAAACGACTTTTCAGTCTGGCGCAATAACCCGCAAGGACTGCACCAGGACTCCGGAAACCCCCTACAAGGTCACTATGACTCGATGGCAGTGGATAGTGTCTGAAATATTATTGTTAACTGCCATTGAGTGTTTCCAACTCATAGGGACCCTGTATAGAGTTTAAAAGGAGTGGCTGGTGGATCCGACCTTGTGGTTCAAATTGACCTTGTGGTCCAGTGCTTATCCTACAGTGGCACACTAGGACTCCGTCTGAACCATCTGAAGATGTTAGGTCCTCGTTTTTCTCTCTCTCTCTTTTTTTTTTTATTAAACAGTTGTAGAAACTGAACCCAAAGCCCAAATCCATTGTCTTTAACTCATTCCAACTCATGGCGACCACTTGTGTCTCAGAGTAGAACCATGCTCCAGAGAGTGTTCAATGGCTGTGATCTTTCAGAAGGAACTCTAGTTGTAGTCGTTTATTTGTTGGGCTGTTAACTGTAAGGTCAGCAGTTCAAACCTACCAGCCAATCCTCAGAAGAAAGAGGAGATCTTCTGCTCCCATAAAGATTTTTAAAAGTCCTGAATTGGCGCTGTGGGTTAATGAGTTGGACTGCAAATTTGGTTTGAACCTCAATGTCAGCGGTTCAAACTCACCAGCTGTTCCTCAGAAACCCTATACAAGGTTGCTATGGGTCGGAACCAACTCTGTGGCATTTAACAACAAAGATTTACTACCTCAGAAACCCTACATAGGGTCTTTGTGTGTTGGATTCTACTCGATGACAGTGAATTTTTTGGTTTGGTGATCTTTCAGGAGTAGATCACCAGGCCTTTCTTCTGCAGTGCCTCTGGGTGGATTCAAACGCCCAACCTTCCCAACCAGGGGCTAAGCTGAGACTGGGACCGCCCTTCCAGCTCCCCTTCAGTCCGCAGGGAGACGGAGTTCCGGGAAAGGAAAGGTCTCTTCTCAGGAAAGGGGAGCAGAGGGGGCGGGTTTTCCACTATGAAGCCTCCCTCCATCGTCATCCTCATCCCCCTCCAGGGTTGAAAAGAGGCGTCTGCGTGAAGATCAACCACTTCCCGGAGGACACAGACTACGACCATGACAGCGCGGAGTATCTGCTCCGTACGTGGGCGGTCCCGGGCGGACTGGAGGGTGGTGGTGGGGTGGGTGGGGGTCGGCACTTGGATCGACACACCAAGTTTAGCATTTCAGCCAATCCAATTGCATACATTGAGATCCTCTGCTTCCCAATTGGTTCAGGCATTCCCCTCTCACTCTTCTCTTTGAGGAAGATCCAAGAGGGTGTGTGTGTGTTGTGGGGTGGGGGTGGGGGTGTCCCTAGGTACTGATTGGTGCAGTAAATCTGGATTGTGATTGGCTTCGGATCGCAGGCTTGCGATTGGTCGCCGCGCTGTGGGGCTGCGGGGCAAACTGCGGCGGGGAGTAGCCACTCTCTGGAGCTGGCTCTAGGGAACCTGCGCTGTGATTGGAAGCTGCCGCGGGAAGGCGGCAAATCCTGAATTCTGATTGGCTGCTACTGTAGCCAGATTCAGAAGTGACAAGATGTGGTTGCCTGGGGCTTGGGGGGACTAGGGTTGAGTGGAATGGTCTGCAGATAGGGAGGAGAGAGGGAGCCGAGGGAGAAAGAGATGGAAAGATAGAGGAAAATATGTATTTAGAGAGACAGAAACTGAGACAGCGAGTCAACTAGAAAAAGCCAAGCAAAAAAGTAAGAAAGGAGAGAGCCAGAGATGAAAGACAGAGGATTATATGCATATATATCTTGACAGAATTACAAAAAGCCAAGCAGAAAAGGAGGGTAAGAGACAAAAAGATTGGCACCAAACAATAACCTATAACAGTATATTGTAGTTCCTGTTAAGTGCCATATATATATATTTATATATATATGATTTGTTGTTGTAAAGTGCCATCGAGTCGGTTCCGACCCATAGCGACCCTGTATAGGGTTTCCGAGGAGCAGCTGGTGAGCTTGAAGAAGAGATAATTAGGAAAAAAGCCAAGCAGGAAAGAAAAGAGGGAAAATTATATATAGTTATAGTATATAAGATTATGTATAGAGAGATAGGGATTATGAGAAAAAGCCAAGCATTAAAGGAAGACGGCGGGGGGGGGGAGGGGAGCATAAAGAGGAAGATAGAAAATTATATATATAAAATGGTATAAATATCTTGGAAACCAACCCAGGGATAAAAATAAGGGAGCTAGAGAAAGAAGGATAGGGATAGAAAGGTAGAGTACAATTTCTATAGAGAGAGAGGAGCTACAACTAGAAAAATCTATGCAGGAAGGGGAGGAAGTTGAGAGCGAGGAAAACGGAGGGATTATGAAATAGGGTGGGTGGGGGCTGGTGTGTGTGGAGGGTAGGGCGATTACGTATATATGAAGAGAGAGAAAATCAGGCAGCAAAGAGAGAATACAGAAAAATTGGGAGTGGGAGGGCTGACAGAAAGGGGGACTAGGAGAACTGGAAGAGATAGGCAGAGGAAGAGGGTGAGAATGGACCAGAAAGAAAAAGAGAAAGGGGGAGGGTCCTCTAAAGCTATAAAGATGTTCAGAGTAAAAAACAAAAAACAAACACACCACACAGAAGGAGAATGATATCAAGAAATAGAGGAAGGAAAGATTCCCATGGAAAAAGGTAGAGAGCGCAACAGGAAGATGGAATCAGACTGTGATATTAAAAAAAAAAAGAGGAGAGCGTTGGAGGGTGAAAGGGACGGTGGGGAAGAACAGACAAAAGCCAGAACGGAACCGGAGAGGGGCAATGGGACAGGCAGCTGGAGAGAAAAGGGTCCGTTGGCGTGCAGGAGACGCAGCGAGCTGGAGCGCACCGGCTCCCTGTCTCCTTCCTTCCTGCAGGAGTCGTCCGGGCCTCCAGCATCTTCCCCATCTTAAGCGCCATCCTCCTGCTGCTCGGGGGCGTGTGTGTGGCAGCCTCTCGGGTCTACAAATCCAAGAGGAATATCATTCTGGGCGCAGGGATCCTGTTCGTGGCAGCAGGTGAGAGGCAGAGGGAGGGGGCGGCGGATGAGGGTGGCCCAGTTGTGCGCGCGGGTTTGTGTGTGTGCACGCATGCGGGTCTGCAAAGCATCCCTGATCCGGTCGCCCCTTGGGCCCGGAAGCTATCTCGCCTCTTCCCAAGCTCCATCGCCAACCGCTGGGCAAGGTAGGTCTAGCCTTGGAGTCGTTTTCTTGGTTGAGTGAACCGAGGATCCATAAGTTCCTGGAGCGTCTTCCGGAACTCGGAACTCGGGGGAGGTTAGGTTCTAAAGCATGGGAGGAGCTTGGAAGAAGGGGTGGGGCCTTGAAGCTAGAAGAGCAGGGAAGGAAAGAGAGAAGCTGAATTAGATGTTCAAAGGACTGGAAACCTGATCTGTTTAGGGGGCTTCATCTCATAGACCTTGGGGAGTGGGAACACAAGGGGCTGCGTCAGGGTGGCTGGATGAGCCTGGGCCTGCTGCCTGTTTAAGGAAAGAAGGCTAGAAAAAAATGGACCAAGCAAGCCCTTGCAAGTTCAAAGCTACTAAGGCCTCAGTCGGAATCCCAGGGTAGCGCATTAGGATTAACACTGGACTGCTAACCACAAGGTCAGCGGTTCAAACCCTATACAGGATCTCTATGAGACAACATATTATCATTGGACATAATTATCAAGAGGGACCAGTCCTTGGAGAAATGCATTATGCTTGGTAAGTGGGGAAGGTCGGTCAGCCAAAAAGAGGGAGACCCCCCCCAACGTGATGGATTGGTACAGTGGCAGCAGCAATGGGCTCAAACATAGCAGTAACTGTGAGGATAGAGCAGGACCAGGCGGTGTTTCGTTCTGTTGTACATCAGGTCGCTGTGGGTCGGCACTGACTCAATGGCACCTAACAACAACAATATGAGACAAAAAGAAAGATATATATGTAAGGAATCCTGGTGTGGCACTGTAGGATAAGCACTGGACTGCTTCCCACAAGGTCAGTGGTTCAAACCCACCAGCCCTTCCTTGGAACCCCTTTACAAAGTTGCTCAGAGTTGGAATGGATGGGACAGCACTTAACAACAACAACAACAACAACAACAACAGAAGCTCAGTTAAGAGATTGGGCCATGTCAAGAATTAGAGTCTAGATTAGCAAAGACTCTTGTTGTGATGTGCCGTGGAGTCGGTTCCAACTCATAGCGACCCTGTACAGGGTTTCCAAGG